TATTCGTATTGTATTTACATGTTATCGTCCTAAATATTCTTTTTATTTGCCGCTGGTCGTCATCCATTATCATCATTTATTTTACCCTTTTATTATACAGTGAAGTGTTTTTCTTCTACTTGTTTATATTACAACTTCTTAAATTTTCACCGATCAAAATTAAAATAGGGCAGATGAAATTTTTCAACCAGAGGGGATATCTTTGAGGGTAAATAGTATTAAATCAAATGTGACTTTTGGGATATTTAATATTTGACGGTAATTATTATTGAGTTAACTCCATATAACTATTATTAAGTCATTAGGCGGTTTTCACGGATTATTTTTCTGTATACGGATCTTTCTATAAAAAAAAGACTGAAAGTTGACTATAAATGTTTTGATATGTCTGTGTATTTGTGTTGCTCTCGCATTAATGTACAGTATATCTTTATCACCTTTTATTCAAAATCAAATGATTCACTTGGGTATAGAAATATTGACATCTCGAGACCTCTCCCGTCCCACAGTATACCCTTACTAAATGGGTGCGTTCGTTTGGCTTATCGGATATATAAATACGCAGTTTTGTCCCATCGAAATAGGGATGTATATCAGATTCCTGGTGTAGTGAGAATTTCACGCTATCTATACGTTAAAAAAACATTAGGGGGAAAAACGATCTGTGCACGAGTTAAATGATCGAAATGTGTAATATCAACAAGAAAGGTCAGGTAAATTTTTTCAAATAAGTCGCATGGCTGATTTTAACACATTTTTTGCGAATTTTGCTAGGACAATTGTAGATGAAAAAAAAAATATAACGAAACCGATTAGCAAAACAATATCTAAAAAATAAATAAATGAAACGCCCAAAATAAGTTGAATCCTTGAAAAATTGTTGTCAACATTTTTTTTATCCATTTTTGCTTTTATGGCAACTATTATACCAGTCTGAGATATAAATAAACTTGAAACAGCAAATGGTGATACGTAGACGAGACAGCTGTCATTGTTCGCTTCAATATATGAGTTATTGGCACTCAATGAAGATAGTTTTTTTCTGTTCTTATACCCTCTCCTATTAGTTTTGCTAAAGGATACAATGTAACCCCTGCTGTGTACCACGACAACGTTTTTGTAATGTTTAAAAAAAAAGATTAAATGCAAAGAGAAAAATGATGGAAGAAAGATTTACTCTTAAAAATTCATACTTAAATTAAAATGAAATATAAAAATTGGAAAACTGTTTGAGACGATTATTTATTGATTTATTGATTGTTGGTTGCTTAACGTCCAGTGGCAAATATTTCATGAATGTTCAGGACGAAAACAAGTTAACAATAAATACAATAGGTAGGTTTTGTAATAATAGAGGCCATCTGGGATGATGGTCGGGGAAATTTGGACTGCCACTGGACAATGAGGATATATTGGATAGGAACAGAAATTTTGCCTTGCAACAGGCCACCCACGGACCCCTCAAAGAGTTGTTGCAAGGGTTCTTAACGTGCAAAGAGCGTGGCACTTTCTGTACACGAGGTATCGGATTTAACGTCCCCAATCTGACCGGACGTGGCTGCAAACTTGATACATCCCGCACAGCCAAACGGACGCTCCACTTTGGCAAGCGTTTTACTGCTGGTCGGAAAAAGACCAAGTGACCATATTTGTATTCCCCACAAGGGTGACGATTATTTTCTGAAACCAAATGATTATACGTCACTAAATGAAGCTGATTAATTAATTGCTTCTGTTATGTCCAGTGGCAAATATGTCATGCATATCTACGACGAGATGCAAAGTGGATCAACTTGAGGCAAATGATTACAATTTTAAAGTGGCACTTTTTACAATAAGGCAGAGCGTTCGCTAGAAGTAAAACGTATGCCGTAATAGAATACAGTTGAATCATGATCGAAGTCGTCAGCTAAGCTATTAGCCCTCCTGGGGGCCTCGGTGGCCGAGTGGTCTAAGTAGTTACTACTGTAATCACTAGCCAGTCAACACTGAGGTTGTGAGTTCGAACCCCGCTCGTGCGGGTGCACTCGACTCCAATCTTAATTGACTAGGATTGTCAGTTTTCCTATCGAAGGTCGGTGGTTTTCTCCGGGCAGTCCGGCTTCCTCCACCAATGAAAGCTGGCCGCCACGAAATAGCCCAAATGCGGTGTTTAAAAGTGGCGTTAAAACACCAAAAATCAAAACCAAATTAGCCCTCCTTCTCTCTTTTTTCTCCACGGTAGACGAATGCCAAAAAACAGAACGTCATGAATTAACAAACAATAACGGCCACTATAAGTAAATGAGATATGGACTTTTTTATTTAAATAAATTCCTATTGCAGCCAACATCTCTCGGTTCGAGACAGGTTAGTATTTCCACCGATTGATTATTGAATGGAGATATTAAAGCAACCAAAAGCACTTTGAATCAAAAATTTTCTGAAATTGTAAATTATGATATTTTGCTGGGTGTTATTTCCCGATCCTATTTCGGACCCCTTGATTTTAAGAGGGCGTGTCTAATTAGTCATGCCCGATTAACTTTTAGTAAATTGAACCTCAACTTAAAGACACACACCGGGTATTTAAGTTCGAGGTACAATAAGTAGACAATAGAAATCCTTTGTGAAATGAGATCGTCCCAGGTATCTTAGATAATTATTTTGCGTTGAATAGCAATGAAAAATGCACGAGCAGGTTTGTAATTTGTGATAAAAGAGATATTATAGTTATTTGTGTTTGTATTTATAATGTCAGTTCCTTTGTATATTAATTATTTTGATCTTTCTGAATGAGAAATATTTATAAATATTTTTCTAACACATGTGTCTTTATAACCTCACCGTACTAATTGTTTCTATAAATAAATTTATTCGTATATTGAACTGATTAGAGTCAGAGATATTTCTTAAGATACAGACGCAGTGGAGGATCACTGGCTCGATCATACTAAAGTTTAAAACTGAGTAAGAAAAATGTAAAAATTTCGATATAGTACAATCCAGCTAAAATTAATATAAGCGTATCCAAATTTTGATTGTGGTTAAAGGATTGTCAAACTTTCATTTGTAATTATCTGACCTTATTTTTCTAATTTCGATTTCAGAATATTTGACGTGTCTCAGGTAAACTTAAAAGGGAATAATTTAAGGCCATATTTGCCATAAAATAAAATTTCTCCAATTTGCATAATATTTTATTCTTTCGTACTTTTGTATTCTAAGCACAACAGGAAAAAGATACGACTTTGCAATAAATCTCAGCTATAAAATGACAGTAAATGCAAAAAACGCACCATATTGCACGTTTTATTGAATATATCATTTCATGTTAATTACCAAAATATCAAAATTTACGAACAGACGCCATTGATGACTTCATTTGTATTTCACTACAACAAATAACAAATACTGAATTTGTTTGAATATTGAATTGTCATGACAACATTTAATCAAAATCAAAAATTTTTTTTTTTTCAACAACAATATTGCACATGATTTCTTCACTGGTACAGCTATTTCAGTGATGCTCCCTGTATATCAGTACCTAAAGACCAGGGTAACTTTAGGTATATATATTTATAATTTTGTTAGTATATATATTATTTATCATTATTACATTATTTCTCTATTATCTTACTATTATAACTCTAAATGTGAACTTTATATATAAAAAAAAAAACAGTAGCCCTTAATATATCATTGTTAACTATCTGATAGATGTTGAGAGTAAAAAATGATAACGGGTTATAGTATATAACTTTGGTGAATTGTTTATATATATATTGACATCAGTTTCCCTTTCGATTTTTTTTTAATTTCTGATTTTACATTTTTGGAGTATTGGGACTTTATTCATAAAAAAAGGGGGGATTTTATTTGTACATCCAACATTCATGTATTTATCTTTGAAGTTTTTGTTATAGTTTCGGTTGAATAATGTTTTATGTCTTATCGTTTTTTGTCCAAATAATTATAAAATTGCCTTTCAATACCATCATTGTCATATTCCAGAATATGACTGCTATACCGAGTGTGAATTTGCATTGCTATACGACGTGTCTCGGTATTTTGTACATCCAACATTCATGTATTTATTTTTGATGTTTAATGGTTTCGGTTGGATAATGTGTTGTGTCTTATCTTTTGTAGTCCGAATAATTATAAAATTGCCTTTCAATACCATCATTGTCATGAAAATTGTTTGGACGAGTATTGTGCAAATAATTGTATAAAGGTCGAGATTGCATGTTAGTTACGTAAGCGCGCCATTGTGGTGTTTGTCGTTGATGGAATATGTTCGTTGTTGTTCTGCGGTTTGCATGTTGTGTCGACTATTATATTATTTGTTTGTGCGTTTCTCTGTGATGAATGATCTTGCGTGTGTTTGTGCTGTATTTCTGTCACGTAGTGTTGTCATTTTAGCGATAGTTTTCGGACAATAACTCAAAAATGCTTTGAGCAGTTTTCATGAGACTTTGGTGACTAGTTTATATCTATTGAAATAAGCTATTTATTTTTTTTTTATACATTATGATATGATATTGAGGTGTTATGGGACTTTATTCGTTGAAAAAGCGACGGATGTATCATGCGCTCATGTCGCAGCTCTTTATTTGTAGATGATTTCTTTTTATCTCTATCGATTTATGAGTTTAGAACAGAGGTATACTACTGTTGCCTTTATTCTCATATAAGACATTGGTTTTTTTTTAAATGTGTTATTTGTCTTTCATAACCGCCTATCTCAGTCAAACATTTGATTGAATTCAGAAAGATTGTTTGAATAATAACAGAAAACAAAATAAACATTTGTTTAAAATATTTACCCGCTCAACTCTGTTACATGTAAAGTTGTTAATATCGGAAGATAAATGTTTGCTTTATTTACTTACAGTCATTCAACCTAAACATAACAAAACTGGCTATTCGTAAAACATTTAAAAAAAAAAGAAAAACAAAAAACAAAATGCCCGTTATTTCATACCTAAAAATCTTTAATTTCATACTTTTTTCAGAGATAGCAGACGTAGTTAATGCCGTAGTGTTTTTACTGAGTGACCAGAGTGGAATGATTAGTGGTGAATCTCTCCGAGTGGATAGAGGATTAAGTGTACATTGACGACTGATATTAGATGTATTACAAGTTGACCTTTGATATTAAACTTGGTAGTTTCTCTTATGATCAAATCTTACCACAAATGAAAAAAATTGTTTTATTAAGATAAATACATAATAAATTTTCCATAAAAATAATTATAATTTTATATGTATACTGAGTACTTACTTAGTAGGTAGAACAAATCAAAGTTTCATCACACTGATGTAAACCAGAAAATGAATGAAATATTTGCATCTTTATGTCAAACAGGTAACAATCAATCATTTGTGTGATGCATATACCATGTATACTACACGTGTCCGGCTAAAAATTGATTTGTAAATAACTTAAGTAAAAGAATACTCTATTTTGGAAAATATATTCTTAATCAAAGACTATTTTTAGCAAAGGAAAAGTAAATTAATATATCAAGAAAACCTTTGTATTTGCCAGGCTCAAAAATTATACTGTCCTTCAAACACGTTTTGCCAAAGCAGCCCATCATAATTATCATTGTATTTGTTAAGATTGATTTCTAGTAGAAAAATTTCATATTTGCTTTAGGGCTTCAAATCTATTGCATTTAAAATAGTTTCATCATGAGATATTTACTTAAGGTAGATCATAGGTATACATTTCTTGAGATAGAATTCTCTAATACTTTGCCAAAATCAAGATTTTACTATGCTTTTTTCAAAAATATAATAAAAAGTATGGGTCATCGTGCTATTTTCCAAGCTATGAGTAGTTGAAAATTGCCTAAATTTGGTTAGATTGTTCATAAAAAAAAACACATTTGTGTGCATTAAAAACAATTTATGAGATAGAATTTTGAAATAAATAGTGAGAAGATAGGTTTTATAATATATTTTAAGAAAATAAAAAGAAAAAATGGTGTCAGCGAATTTGTTTTCTTGCTAGAAGTAAAAATAAAAAATTTTCCTATCAGTCCAGTATATATTTTTTACTTAAATAGTTATCTCCCCTTAAATGGCTTATTTGAAAAAATTGATTCAAAAAACACAAAATTTGATATTTGTTATACAACAAAATCACCAAGTTTTCTTTATATAAATTTTTAGTCTAACCAATAAATTGCAAATCTGTCTCCAAATTTGCAGATTTGGGCAAATAACTAAACCGATTTTGTACTGGGATTGTACAATTCAAGATGGCGGTATACCACGAATTTACCTTAAGTAAAAGCCTTTACCTCGGCCAAATGGGCCTTTTGCATCTTATGCATAGTTGTTAATTTGGGTACAATACCTCTTTGGGTAGGGCATTGACTCATATATATTTTTTTAAACCTATCGAGTTAAATTGTTATTTATGGCCAAAATATTTTAATTTCGACAATATGTATTACATTATAGAGTAACCATAACTGATATTTCTGCATTATAGTTTTCTCATTACATTATTCTTATCATTTATCAAGTAACATCACTTTGATTCAAGAATTATATTATTATTTTACAACTTTATGAGCCGTGCAAATACTTGTATCATACCACCTTTGTATTCGAATGGTTCAAGACGACATTTTACACCAAGCAAAATAAAAATAAAACTTAAACTAATATAGTTTGGGGAATTGAAAAAATAAACATATTGGCTACTAAAAAGACTCTTTACGGGGTGCAAAATCGAATGGTAATGTGTGTTGCTATAAATATCAGTTTGTCTTATTGAACATTTATTATTATAATTGCTTTAATAATTTTACAAAGTAAGTCAATATAGCATAAATGTGTTTAACCTTATCTATAGATAAAAGTGATAGGTTGTCTTGTACAGACTGTGCCTTGAGGTCATAACTTTTTCTAAGGTTAAAAACGTATAAGTGAATAAAAAATGTGCAGATGCGATTTAATGGGAAGAGAATCATCGTTACTCGTGTTGGAAAAGGTAGGTCATTTAGATCTGTATCAACCAAATAAACAATGTATGTACAAAGGAATATACATACAAGTTTAACCGTTCTAGACAGATGTGGGTAGATCGCAGTATCATACATTGATGTCAGCTAGGTTTTCCCCCTAGTATTAACGTGTTAAGGCAAAGTGTTTATTTTTATTTCATTGATATTAATAAGTTTTGTTTGTCCATTTTATTATTATTTTATATGAGTTACAGTTATATTATTATTAGTATTAAAATATGTTATATAAAGTGCAACTTAACAGACTCGTGAAGCAAACATTTGCAGTGGAGTTTACAAACTAAAGAAATGTGCAAGGAAAACAACATAGAACATTAAAGCCAAACACTTATCTATTTGTCTGACACGATTTATGTTTGTCAGAATCAAATGTAGATTTAAGGTCGTAACTCTTCAGAACCAACCGTTATTTACAGTTAATATAACAATACCTTCTCTGAACCAACTTTTTCATGTAGACTTTAGGTCGTGTCACCCTCAGAACCAACCATTACTTACAGTAAATATAACAATACCTTGTAAAAACTAAATTTTCTATATAGACATTAGCTCGTTACATCCGCAGAACCAACCCTTATTTACAGTCAATATAAGAATACCTTGTCAGAACTGTTATTTAGAGTAAATATAACAATACATTGTCATTGTTGTCCGTGACAAATATAATATAGAAGGTATGTCATTTCTATAATTACCGTTTAATATATTAATGAGTATGTTAACTCGTATAGTTTTATTGTGACTGGGTTAAATTCAATGTTGCTTGTAGTGTGCATTTGAATTAAAACTATGGTACTTAACAAATTGAAATGTCAAAACAATGCCACTCTTTTGGGCATTAGAGACAGGGTTATTTTCATAAATGAGTATGGAACAGAAAACAAATAACACATTTTAAAAGCAAATCTTCTTTACTGTTACCTCAGGGGACTACCATGAAAAGTGGCAGAAAGGAAATAGAAAAAAAAAACATATACAAAAATTATAAGTAGAGAAAATGTAGTGCGGTGAGAAGATATTCATCGTGACAATGAAGATTTTCCATGCAATTCGAATAACAAAATAGTATAAACACGAGAACAGGTGTTATATCAGTTGATGGGGGATATAAATCCATATAAGCCTACCCAGATTAGATGAATAGGTAGTCTGGTAAAAATAACAGCGCTTATGATATCAAATATGATCTTTTTCATTGGAGTTATTTATCTCTGATTTTTATACATGTCTCCAGTGTTCTCACTCAATAATGATTAACAAAAAATCTTAATCTGTAAAATGCAATAGTTTGTCGGCTGTTTATTTCACGTTAAATAATAAGTGTAAGACATATAGATATATGGTATATATATATATCACAACATGGTAAAGTAATAACACGTAGACATTTTTATTACGCCTCTGTTGATGCAAATATTAATAGTTTTATTTCAGGGTCGTTGTTATCTATCTTAATTTTACGGGTTTGAGATATCAAGCAACGACAAGTCTGCGAAAGACTTTGAATGGTTCATAAAACGTATTCCGGTTCTGCACGAGTAGTGGTTCTGGAAAAGTAAACCGCTGCAGTACCCTGATCGTTAAAATCGAATGCTGATAAAAAAGTTTTGCAGCTTATCGTACATTTCTTTGAATATATTTTTGCAGCTTATTGTACGTTGCGTTTAACAGATCAAAACAGATAATTATGTTAGTTTATTTGTATGAGATCTAAGATTTTATATAGATATATTTTATATAATGTATATGCTTCAATAACAGAAAAAATCTGTCTAAACAGGATAAAGTATTTAAAATATTTACAGTATTTATTAATGTTTAAAATTCAGATAAAACTCATTGTATCACACCACAAACAATATTAAAAAATAAATTTAATCTCTACTGAGAATTGTATTTCACAAATGATTTTCAGATACTTTCAAGGCACTTAAGGTAGATGTGGGGTCTAAATAACAATCCATAGAGTTTTTTTAATAATTTGCTAAGATATAGTTTTTCGCAGCTCATGTATTTTAAATTCTATTGGGCAATGCATAAAAGAAAAGAGAAACAAAATCATGTTTTAAAAAAAAAAAATATAATTTATGCTTTCATCCTACAAACTAAAAAAAACAACCAGAGGTTTAACATACACTTGAATGAATCAGCGAGTAGCTCATGTATTTTACATTCTATTGGGCAATGACTAAAAGAAAAGAAAAACAAAACGATGAATTGCGAAATTTTTACTTTTTCAGACTAAAAATGTTTCTCATACAAAAAAAAAATGAGTATGAACTAATTTGAGGTAAATTATATGGCCTTCCAAATAACGTTTCGATTCCTAACATCACTGAAAAGACATTAATTGTCGAAATCCAGATATGGTGTACTAATCTTTGCACCTTTTGTTTGCGGTATACCATCTTTTCCGCAAGTTTATTGTTTTCTGTTTGGTATTAAATTAATAGTTAATTAGATCCATGGTGTTACATCTGGTGATCCGTTTATTTGACAATCGACAATGGCAGTCAGCAGGGTTTAAGAACATCCGTTCTTTGACCTGCTAGTCAAATGCGTTTTGTACTTTTTCACTTTTTTTGTCTTTTGGAAAATGTTGTTTGTGCTATATTTAGACCCTTCTACCAAGAAATTTGTTTTGCATGCACACGTATAAAAATTGCGGTTTTTATCCAACGCAATCATAGGTTTGAACGTTGTTTTCAATTTAGACTTGTTTATATTTTTTCGTTTGGGCTTGTACTATATTTGCCTTCGGGTTTATTTGATCCGTTCATCCTATTTCGACTCTTCAAAATTCAAGAGTCTATCCTAAATTGAGATAAATTATATGGCCTTCCAAATACCGTTTCGATTCCTAACATCACTGGAGAGACATTAATTGTCAAAATCCAGATATAGTGTACTAATTTTTGCACCTTTTATTTGCGGTATACCATCTTTTCCGCAAGTTTATTGTTTTCTGTTTGGTATTAAATTAATAGTTAGTTAGATCCATGTTGTTACATCTGGTGATCCGTTCATTTGGCAATGGCCAATGGCAGTCAGCAGGGTTTAAGAACATCTGTTGTTC